CTATGTACTGCAAATACATACTAATAAAAATTGAAATTAAAAAATTAAACTCGGCAATTGCTAGCAGAATATTTCTAAAAATCAATAAACTTTTAATTAGAAAAAATAAAATTTATGTTAATTGACAACTAAAAAATATGAATTATTTATACAAGTGTTCCTTTAAGCATGACCTGCAGGTAGCTGAAGCTGGTCACAAAGAGCAATCTAGAACAAGACAAGGAACATGAAGTAGAATGTAAATCAATTCTGTCATGAAACATACTACTTGGTGCAAATGCCATGCTTACACAGCAAAGCTTTCTCAGTGAAGGACACAATGCACTGATTTACACTCTGATTCAAGCTTTTCATCTCATCATAGAGCTGTCGGTGAGAAGCAGTAGTTTTTACCACAGGACTGCTTCCAGGACTGTACCTTTCAAACAAATAAAATGACAAAAACTTAAAGCCCTATTTTCTACTTCTATTATTACATATATTCTTCTTATATTCTTATATTCTCATATTACTGCTCAAATCTGATATGAATATACCCAAAAGAAGTGATTTACTGCAACACAATTTCACAAACTCTATGGAACAGACTGGCATTACTAGTGACTGATAAAGGTATACTTTATCAATTTGAGATATTAGAGAAACGTAATAACTTTCAACATCATAATAAAGCAGCAAATTGACCAGACACCTACAATCTTAAATTTCTTCCATGCCAAACTTGTAATCTTCAAATCTTTACCATAGAACCTATCCCTTCAATCTTTCAATTTCTCTTTCAGGCCCATTAAAACCCCTGACATTAAAACCAAGCCACAGGAATAAGTTTAACCCTAGCCTGGAGTTCTTTCTGCATCCTCTAATCTGTTCCTCTGGTCCTTGGGTCTGTTTGCCAGTACCATGCTGTTTTCATCACAGTAGCTTTGTAGTATAGTTTCAAATTGGGGATTGTGATACCCCCTACCTTGTCTTTGATGCCTAGAATTGATTTTGCAATTCTAGGTCTCTTCTGGTTCCAAATGAATTTTTAGATTGTTTTCTCAAGGTTTGTGAAGTATGCTGCTGAATTTCAATTGTGACTGCATTGAATCTATATAGCAGTTTTGGAAGTATGGCCATTTTCATTATATTGGTTCTTTCTACCCAGGAGCAAGGGATGTCTTTCCATTTTTTTATATCCTCTTCGATCTCCTTTTTCAAAGTACAATGGTTTTCAGAGTAGAGGTCTTTGATTTCTTTCGTTAGATTGATTTCTAGGTATTTCACTTTTTTGGATGTTATTGTGAAGGGAGTTGTCTCTCCAGTTCCTTTTTCAGTGAGTCTGTTGTTCATGTAGAGGAAAGCTATTGATTTTTGTGTGTTGACCTTGTATCCAGCTACTCTACTAAATTTGGTTATTAAGTCTAGAAGACTTTTGGTACAGTTCTTGGGGTCTTCTATATAGAATATCGTATCATCTGCAAATAATGACAATTTGACTTCTTTATTTCCTATCTTTATTTCTTTTATTTCCTTCTCTTGCCTAATTGCTGTGTCTAACAACTCCAGACACACTCAGCCACCTCATCTTTGACAAAGAAGCCAACCACCCTCACTGGAGGAAAGATAGCCTCTTTAATAAATGGTGCTGGAAAAATTGGATTTCAACTTGTCAAAGATTAAAACTAGACCTGTAGGGGCTGGGGATTTAGCTCAGTGGTTCCGGCACCTTCCTTGCAAGCACAAGGTCCCAAGTTTGATCCCTGGTACCAAAAAAAAAAAAAAAAAAAACTAGACCTGTATCTCTCACCATGCACTAAACTAAAATCAAAATGGATTAAAGATCTAAATATTAAAATAGAAACACTAAACTGGCTGGAAGAGAGGTTAGGTAAAACTCTTGAAGACACGCATAGGAAAAGATTTAATGAACAAAACCTCAGTTGCACATGAACTAGCACAAAGAATCAACAAGTGGGATCTCATCTTATTAAAAAGCTTCTGCACAGCAAGAGAAACCACCAAGAGTGTGAAGAGACAACCCACAATGTGGGAAAAAATTTTTACCAGCTGTTCCTCAGACAGATTCTAGATTCCATCTAGAATCTATAAAGAACTTTAAAAAATCAGACCTCCCAAATTTAAAGATCCAATTAAAAAATGGGCTTCTGAAATGAACAGACATTTCTCAAAGAAGTAGTAATAGCAAATAAACATATAAAAAATGTTCAACATCATTGGTCATTCGAGAGATGCAAATGAAAACAATGCTGAGATTCTACCTCACCCCAGAAAGAATGGCTGCTATCAGGAAATCAACCAATAACAAATTCTGGCAGGGCTGTGGGGAAAAAGGAACCCTTCTCCACCGTTGGTGGGAGTGTAGACTGGTGCAACCACTGTGGATATCAGTATAGAGATACCTCAAAGAACTAGGACTGGGAGTCCCATTTGACCCAGCTATTCCCCTGCTGGGTATCTTCACAAAAGAATTTAAAAATCATACCACAGAGATATATGTGCACTCATGTTCATAGCAGCACAGTCTCTAATACCTAAAACATGGAAACATCCCAATTGCCCATTAACTGGAGAGTGGATAAAGAAAATGTGGGGTTTTTTAATAAAATGGAGTACTATTCAGCCATAAAGAATGAAAAATTAGAGGCATTTATAGCTAAATGGATGCACATTGAGGCGATACTCTTAAGTGAAATAAATAGGAAACACATATAAATACCGAAAAGTTTCTCTGGTGTGAGAAACAAAGTGTAAATAAGGGTCACAATGTTTAATAGATAATGTGAAATACGAAGAAAAGGTGCAAAGGGGAAGGGGAAGTGGAAGGGATAGGGGAAAGGAAAGAAGGGAATGGAATTAATGAGAAAATGAAAAAATGGAAACAAAGTCTTTGTAAATAGGGACAGATAGAGGGGTTGAAGGGAGGGCAGGGGAACTGGGAAAAATAAGAATTAAGATATATTATGTAAAGGCACAAATCTCCAGTGATGAATGTCATTATACTGTATACCTAAAATTAATTTTTTAAAAAAACCTAGCCTCGGGGCCAGGGATTTAGCTCAGTGGTTTTGCTGCCTGCTGCGCAAGCGCAAGGACCCGAGTTCAATCCCTTGTACCAAAAAAAAAAAAACCACCTAGCCAGAGAATGACTAAATAGTCTCATGATCACAAATACAGAAATGTTTTTCAAGGATTTTAACAAAATAAATAACTAGATATCTATATAGTACAGTGATTTTCTTACCCAGGAAATCACTATCACTTCAACTTATACGGCAGGACTACTTTTGTTTTACCCTAAGCAAAATAAAGAAGTGGTAGCTAACATAGCTTTCCAGAAAAAAAACATGGATCTTGCCTAAAATGTGATTTTTAAAGAAAATGTTCTCATTATTATTCTGAAGTATTTGGGGAACAAAAGGTCATAGTAACTGGTCATGGACACTGTAACATGATAAACAGTTCAGCAAAAAGTAGGTGTACATGGAATATGGTTAAGCTAATAGGGTAAATGTTAATTTGTGACTCTAGATGAGGAGTGCATAGGAGTTCACTGTACTACTAAAATTTTTCTGTGAATTTGACTGTTTTCCTACTTTTAAAAAAAAGGTTACTCTTATCACAAGCAAAAAATATCAAATATGATTATTCTTTGTTGAACTCTCTGGTCACCTTAGTCATCTTTGCACAAGTGTAATTTTAAGATGTGTACTCTCAAAAGATCTACCTAAACTTTGGGGCCAGGGATTTAGCTCAGTGGTTCTGTCACTTGCGTCTTAAGCGCAAGGTCCTGAGTTTGATTCCTGGTACCCACCCCCAAAAAAGAAATGAAGATCTACCTAAACCTTAAAATAAATTCCAGTTTAACAAATGGCATTTTCAGAAATCAAAACTCAATATGGCTGACAGTATTATATACTGCTCTGACCCAAAGTACAACTGGTCAACCATCGAAAGAGTCTCTTGACAAGCATAAAAACATTTTTATCAAACCTAATCATTTCTTTGTTACATGAAACATTTCTAAACTACTCTCGATAAGTGTCATCAGTCAAACCACATCAATGTATAGCACTCATGGAAATGTACCTGAGTAAGCTAGTAACAGCCTTGATGAGTGGTGATCCCAGGGACAGGAAAAAAACCACCAGTGTGGGACTTAAGATTAGTATTTGCCTACAACTCTCTCAGTCCTTCTGAGGTGACATTTATGTCAGAAACTTAAGCACTTATAAATGATTTCCGCATTCCTTCCAATATTCAGTGTACTTCTTGCCACTGTATGAGCTAAATTATGAGAGATAAATCAGTAAATATTATTGCATTTTCCTTCAAGTTAACAATATCAAAAGGTAGTGAGATTGCAAGTAATTTTTATTTTCTTTTCCCTTTCTTTTCAATTAAGGTAATATAATTTTAAAGGATCTTCTTAAATTTGTTTTAAAGGTAATAAAAGGGACAAATTATAGAATCTAGAACTCAACATTGTTTCTTAACTAGCCATACAATGAGGCCAAAAACAACTTCCACTACACTCAGTGATTGTTGATATGGACATATATTACAAAAAGTTACACAAAGATGTGTGATACCCTTTTACATGTTCTTACAGAAATTTTGTATGTGTTTTCTACATATATATATATATATATATATATATATATATATATATATTTTTTTTTTTTTTTTTTTGGTACCAGGAATCGAACTCGATTCCTTGCACTTGCAAGGTAGGTGGTGGAACCACTGAGGTAAATCCCCAGCCCTGTATTATACTTGACCAAAGTAAAATGATCCTAAAATAAATATTAATATTCTTATACATTTTCATAATGAATTTTCCTTGTAAAAGAAACCATTAGAATTAAAATAAAAAGCAATAAAGAAACTAATTTGGTACACAAAAGCTTTCAAAAATATTCAAGAAACATGTCTAATACAAAGGATAAGGTTAAAATATTAAAAAAAAAAAAAAAAAAAGAGTGAATCAACTGCTTTACCTCTTTGTGTTTCATATCCAACTGACTCCTAAGGGTCTTAAGTTCCTGGTCACGGATGTCCAGGCAAGTTTCCAGAGCATGTGTCTGCCCTTCCCATTCAGACTTTTTATGAGCCACCATTATGTCAATCTGTTTCATGAGCTCTTGTAGTTCTGCTTCACAGGATGTCAAAAATCCCCTATAAATAAGAACAGACCATTAAAAACATAGAACATATGTCCAAGAACTTTTCCATCTTTCATATATAAAAATATAGCAGACTGGGCCGGGGATTTAGCTCAGTGGTTTCGCCGCTTGCTGTGCAAGCGCAAGGACCTGAGTTCAATCCCCAGTATCAAAAAAAAAAAAAATAGCAGATTAAACCTACCTGAAGCAGAACAATGTCAATTAATAAGTTACTAAAAGCAAAAAACAGGATTTCTGAGCTTTTGCTTTTCACACATTCACAAGAGGGCTATAATTTGTATCTCGCTGTCAAGCAGCTTGAACCACTGGTGATGTCCCATCAGGCAGCTTTTTATTAATTTTATTAGTAAAAAAAGACCGATAAAAGTGATTAGATCCATTCGTGCCACCAGTGGTACATGCCACTTGATGGGACAACCATGCATAAACCACCAGTGGTTTAAGCCAGAAGGAAAATGTTAATGCTCATATTAAAATTATTTATCCCATAGAATATTTTATCCTCCTCTGATGAGCAACCTAAAGTCTAAAGCACTGGATCAAACACAAGATTAATGTTTTAGATCTGGCTTATACAGTGAGACTTCCACAACTATCTCTTTTGTAATATTTTGGAGAGGCTTTCAGGAAGTATCCAGGGAAGCCTATGTCACATTTTCATCTAGCCAAAATAGAAAGTCTTAGGAGCAACCAGGAAAGTAAGTGATGATACAATTTCAAAAGCTGTTTCCAGAAATGCATCTTTGAGCCATATTTATTTCAACTATTTCTTTCCACTGTGTTATTTGAAACTTACAGCAACCCCTTATTACTGTAAACTTCTTTATGTCCTTCTAAATTTCAAGAGATGCCAGATATTGCAGAGCTGAAACAGGTGGGCACAGATGTATTAGACTCAGAAACATTTGTAGGAATGGCCACTGAGGGTTCTAACCACTAATAATTACACGCTTTTTTACAAAAGCATATATTCTTAGAGTCACAGTACCTCTTGTATTTTTGTTTTCAAATAGTAGAAAACTCAGTGGGATGAAGGCAAGAGTCTGCTTCACAATGCTAAGATGAAATAAATATCTGAAAGAGACATGCTGTCCACAAACATAGCACAGTGATATCAGCCTAGCTTTCATTCAACACTTTTGCTTCTATAGCCAAAGCACAGGATGATTAAAAGCATAACTCAGATACACTCTTAAACTACAGTGAGAAGCACAAGGTCAAAAGCAAACTTACCCACCATGCCCCTGATTTTTTATTCCTTCCAACAACGCCTCCATCGCCAAGTCCCCTTTGCTGTGGCAACTGGGAAAGGATGGAGAGAGAAAGAGAAAGAAGAAAATTCACTGTGTAGTTCTAACCTTCCAACTTCAACTTCAGAATGTGAATGAAAATATATGAATCACAATGAGAAAATGCAGCAGACTGTAGAAGCAAAGAATACCACAAGAAATTTTAGAACCAAATATATTTTACATTAAATGAAGATCATCCTAATTGCTGTTGATATTCTCCCTACGTAAGTCATTGTCTATGCCTAATTCTTAATATAAACATGGTGGTAATGTCTTTCTACTAGAAGAACACAGACAAAAAAAAAAAACCCCACAAATAAGAGGAAGAAATTGGGGTCACACACACCACAGGAAAATGTAGCTCTTCTTCTTTTAAAAACAGAGATGTTATTTAAAAAAAAAAAAAAAAAGTAAAATACTCTGAGGTTAAACTCCCTGTTCTGTGATTGGCAATCTCACCCTGAGGAAGAGAGGCCCACAGTACTTCTTGCAATATCCTCCCTCCTCTGAAAGCCAACCAAGGGGCCCTCCCTCTTCTGTACTTGATAGCTCCTCTTCCTTCACAGGTTTTTTTCTGTAAGAGTTACAAATTACATAGGAGTTGAAAATAAGGTTTTGCGTATTCCTTACTAAAATTCTTATACCTCAAAGGCAAAAAAACACACCAATTTTATTTATCTCTGCAGATCCAGAGCTTAGTATAGCATTTCAACATGGCCAATGTTGGATGCTTTTGGCTGAACTCATTTTAATTCCCCTCCTTTTACTCACCCTCCCACAAACTGGTCATGACTGGAGGATTGTAGAAAAGGGTCCAGCAGAAAAAGAGATGGAAAGACAGAACAGACTGACTCACCAGTCACACCATGAAAAAGGATGGTGAGAGCAAGAAAGGAAAGAAGATCCTTAAATTCAGAAGTGCCCACGTGTAGCATGGCTACAGTTTTCTCAGCTCTCACCACAAATCTTCAAAATGTTCAATGCCAAACCACTTTCACCCCTAACAAACTGCACTCTCTTCTTAAGCTTTCAAATTACAACCTTTAGGTAGTGACCAAAGACTGGTGTGGAGGTTCTGCCCTTCTGTTCTAATGCCACATGTAAAAATTATATTGGTCCAAAAAGTGCATCCTTTTATTCAACAAATAATTCAGTGTTTTGCTAGCACTGCATAAATAATGAAAGACATGGCCCTTTTCCAGGAATTCATAGTTCAGTATGGGACAGAAAAAATTAACAAACTTCCCCCCCAATGTATAAATGTAGTGACAAGGGTGTGCAGAGGGCACTGGAGAGACAACAGAGAGTGATCAGAACACTAGAAAATAAAACCACTGTGCTTTATTTGAATCTATTTTTAAAAGTACTAGCAAGGATATCAAAAACTATTTATGCACAAGTATGGCATGGAAGATTTTTCTTCTGGTTGGTTTATCCTACATATTTCTCCAATATCACACAAAATATAAACCTACAGAAAAAGATTCCCATGTTTCATTCCACTTTTTTACAAACCACTTTTGGTCCATTCTGGGAGAGCAGTACAGAGTTCACACAGTACTAGCTGGAGACCCAGGATACAGTTATATGCTGCAACTAACTAGTTTTGTGAATTTGGACTTCAGTTGCTGCATCCATAAAATGAAGGGCATAAACAATAATCTCCAAGGTTTCTTCCAGTTGTTTTATCAGGCTCTAAAATGTCTCATGTAAGTAGCATGCTCTTGACAACTATGCATGGATATTTATTAAATATTAGGAAAATGTCATTCTTAAAGACAGTGCGACTACAACTATTCAAAATAATTGCTACTAAAACTATTCTTCTTTAGACTATGTTAAACAGTAATATATATAGTAATATATAATACAGTAATACATTTTCTAGATGACACTTGTTTAATAATTAACAGTATCTCTAATATATGGTAAAAGCCATTCAGTTCTATACTACTCTAACCTGTCTTGTAAACTTTGTCATTTTCAATCTTCACAACACTCATAAAAAACAGATACTATAAGGAAACTGAGGCTTGGAGGGTTAAATAATTTGAGTATGGTAATCTACAAACATCCTAGGATTCAAATCTAGGCAGTGTGGCTCTCAGATCACAACAAATGTGCAATATTTATATATCTTACAAAATTCCAATCTTAAAATGCATCAGCATTATCTTCTTTTGGTTTAGTAGGGTTTTTTTGGTGAGAAACAAAATTAAACTGAGGCATAGCATCACCTTATGACCACCAGGTGGCAGCAGCATTACAATAAATCAGTCCAAGTGAGGAAAACTGCCACTTCAGAAATCAAAATAATGATCTAAGACTAAGACAAAGATGTCTTTGTTTAAAGAAAGGGGACAGGGGAACCAACAACATCCTCTGGAGAAAATACACTTGTCAATGTGAAATGTGTTTCTTTAACAATACCTTCACCACCTGCTTGAGTAGCCACCGAACACCATCAGCTCTCATCTCTTAAGGTCAGATAAGAGCAAAGATTTCCATGTCCTGCAGACCTTTGTTGTGCAAGTTATTCATAATACATAATTATGAATATGAAATTGCTTTCCTAATCTGACCCTCATTCAACTCTATGCAAAACCTCACTCTTTTTACTTTGCCTCTCATGTGATACATAGTCTGTGCCATGTGATGCCTAATTATGAAAGATATCCTTTGTGTAGATTAAATACAATTAAACTAAAAATGGTATGATAGTCTGCTTCTCCTTGCTACTAACATGAAAAGCTAATTGGATAAATAGAAACTGTATAACTCTACAAATGCTACAGTCTTACTCACGTCTGCAGTCTGACCAAGACAGCAACAAACAGAACTTACTCATTTAACTTACCTTTCAAATGAAAACTGTCTTAAATCAGTAAAATCTAGAGTTGAACGGTTAAAGGAAATACAAGTTTTTTAAAATCAAGTCTAAGAGGGCAGAAAAACACTTAAATCTTAGGGGAACAAGATATAAATAAGATGTCTGACAATAAGTTGATCTTTGGTATTCATTAACATATTGTATTTTAAGGACTAGAAAGTGCTTTAGCCCTCTAATTTGATCTCTTAATTTTACAGATCAGGAAAAATATCCAGAGTATATAATCTGTTATGGTTTATATCTAGATGTCCTCCCAATGCCTCATGTGCTCATGGGGGGGGGGGACGGACGTTGGGGAGGTGACTGGATCGTGGGGCCCTGATTATCATCTGTGGATTAGTCCACTGATGAATTTAGAGATAAATGTGATGCTGGGAGGTGGAACCTGGTCAAAGGAGGCAGGTCACTGGTGTGGCCTAGAGGGTCATACTTCCCTCCCCCACTCCTCCCTTCACTCTCCCTGTTTCCTGACACCACACTGTGAGCAGCTTGTCCTCTACCATGCCCCTGTGCCATGGTGCCCCGCCTTGGAACCAGCCAACTATGGACTGAAATCTTTACAAACTGTGAACCAAAATAAATCTTCCTTCCTTCAAAATGCAGGTGATTTTTGTCCCAGTGACAAGAAAGTGAGACATAACCAATATCAAATTACAAAATGACACATTGGAATAAAAATTATGAATAAAATTATGAGTAAGTTATAATAAAAGAGTAGAGATATGCCTGACCTCCAGTTCTACTTTAAAGAAGGATAACAAGCCAGGTGTGGTAAAGCACACCCATAATCCTAGCACCGTGGGAGGCTGAGGTGGAGGAACACCTATTCAAGCCCACCCTGAGCAACTTAGTAAGATAATGTTTAAAAAGAGGAAAAAAAAATAAAAAAGAAAGAAAAATCCAAACTATTTTAGAGATTTGTGGGGATAAGGGGAAAGGAGAGAAATGGGAGTAAAATGATCAAGATATATCTTGATCCACACACACACACACACACACACACACACACACACACATATATATATATATACACCAATTCCCCAAGATGAACAGATGAACATAATTATTACATATCACAAACATATACTAATACAAAAGAACTGAGAAGAATATTCCTTATGGGGAGAAAAATATTGGAAGTCACATTTTTACTAAGAACTGAAGAGTTACTATTTTCAAATAAATAAGATGCTGATTGTAAAAACTAAATAAAATAAAATCCAGGAAAAAAATTAGAAAGACTGAGCGATACAAGTACATAAAAATAAGCTTCTACATGGAGAAAATGCCATAAGTTGAAAGAGAAATAACAACAGTATTTGAAAGTTTTACCAGTGTTAATTACCCAAATAGACAAACAGTTTATAAAAATTTATGTAAAAAAAAATCTATAGAAAAATGGGCAAGCAATATGAACAACTTGTACACAGAAAAAAGTCCAAATGATTTTACATATATAAAAAGATGTTCAACTTTCCTCATAACAAGAGAAATACAAATTAAAATTTCATGGAGTTGCTCTTTCTTCTGTATCAGATTAACCAAAAATTAAGTTTAACAATATACTGATGACAAGGCTATGGGAAAACAGGCCCTCATATATAATGTAGGTAGGAATACGTACAAACTGTTTGACTATTATAAGGGAGATTTTGGTATTCATCCTTTGATCCAAAAATACTATTTGTAGGAATCTGTCTCAAAAATATACTCAAAAATACAAAATACATACACAAAGATATTAATTTATCTTTAGTAGGAAACACAACAGGAACTAGTTTACTATTCATCCACCAATGGAATACTATGAAACTGTAGAAAAGGATAACAATCTCTACATAAATTTAAATAGCACAGAAAAATTGGAAATAAAATTAACTATCAACTCAATATCAAATTAACAAACCATACAAATGATTTCATATGCCTTTAAAGTACAAATATTTTACCATATACATCCCTAGTGGCATATACACTAAGGACAAAAAAAGAACTTCAAAGAAATCCTAAGCACTATGTATTTCTCTTTTTTAAAAAAATATACTTCCCAACTCTCCACTGTGAATCCTAGAATCAATGCCTAAACTAGTAATAAGAAGCCCTTTCCCACTATCTATCTCCCACTCAGACTGTGGTCTCTAAATACCATCTTCCACTCAATAAAACAAGGATTTTTCTAGAGGCCAGAGATGTATCAGGCAGGAACATGTTTCACCAGAAGGCAAGGAAATTATCAAAACTACTGGTTATAGCAAGTGGAACTGGCACCAACTTAAAGGGGCTACCACTGGCCAAAAAGAGAACATTTTGAGCATCAAAAAAAAGACTGCAGGCCAGGGATTTAGCTCAGTGGTTCTGCTGCCTGCTCCACAAGCGCAAGGACCCAAGTTCGATCCCCGGTACCAAAAAAAAAAAACCAAAAAACTGAAATATGCTGAAATAGTTTAGCTGAGCATGGTGGCACTGCCTGTAATCCCAGCACTCAGGACGCTGAGGCAGAGGATTGCCACAAGTTCAAGGCCAGCCTAGGCTACACAGTGAGTTGAGACCCTGTCTCAAAAAAGAAATAGTTTTAATATATTAAAGCCTATAATTCATGATAATAATTTTAAAAGGCAAAAACCTTCATGGTTACCTTTGGAGGTTGCTAGGCCAACTCATTACTGATGTCTGAAAATAGAAGGGAAGAATTAAGTATTTTTATTGCCTTTCCTGTACAAACTCTATTTCAGGGTAATCAAATAACTAAAGGAAAGTTCTTCATAAAAGATTCCCAGGTAATAATGAAGGAATGACAAAACTAGGAAATCACCATTTTGCAACCCCTAATGGAATAATGGATGTAGGCAATCTAAATCCATGCATTTCCCCACTAAATGGAAGGTTCTTGGGCAATTTCACATAAGATAGATTGGGCTGACACCACCAGAACCCACTACCCTGCTTAACTGTAACATCACAAATGGAGACAACTCAGGCATGTATCTCTCTGACAATGAAGGCAACAGAAAGTAATTTTCATAATATAAAATCTACACCTATGAAATTTTCTTGCCTCTCCAATCAAAAATCAAGTTTGAATTTACTCAGTTTCTAGATTACTGTGGTTCAATAGAATTTTCTGCAATTATGGAAATATTTTATACAGCACTGCTCCAACAGTAAGCCCCTAGACAATCTGTAACTGACTGAGCACTTCAAATGTGGCTAATGCAACTAGGAAACCAAATTTTTAATTTTATTTCATTTTAATTAAGTAATCACAGCTGGCTGATAGCTGATAGTACAATTCTACATCTAACCACTGGCTGAGAGAACATAAAGTGAGTAGAGGTACATATTAAAAAATACCATGTGTTACAATCAGCTAAATTTACAATGGAAAGAAAAAAAGTAGAAAACGACAGATGATTTAAAATGTGTATCAAACAAATGAAAAACTGGGATTTGGGTCTAAACAAGCCATTTTAAACACTTATGGAACAACTGAGGAAATCTGAACCCCCTCTGGATATCGACATGATGGAATTTTTCTTAATTTATGTATGCATGGTAATATTATGGCTTTGTAAAACTGAAAAGAACCTAGCTAGCTCTCGTATGGGGGTTATTTAGCTATGATAAATTGGACTACTGATGCTGTCATCATCTGCCTCAACATGAGAATAAGGATTAAGGGGAAAGTCTTCTAACTCTCAAAGGCAGGATATGGCATCAGTAAAATCAACATATGAAATTTTATTTTATTATGTATTTATTTATTTTTGTTTTTTGAGACAGGATCTCGCTATGCGGTTCAGGCTGCCCTTGAACTCACTATATAGCTTAGGTTGGCCTTGCAGTGATCCTCCTGCCTCAGCCTTTGAGTGAAGGGATTACAAGTGTGCACTACCAAGCTTGGCTCAAGTTTTACAATTTTTAAAATTGAATCCATGTATATTTTATGATTTTTTTCCATGTATATTTTAAAGGGCAGTTTGTCTGAATATTTATAAATCTCAAACCCATTTTAGTGTAACAGCCTTTTTTTATTATACTCATCAACAATAAAGGCATAGTCAAAAGGCAAGGAGCACGGGATAAAAATCAGATAGCACTCATGCAATGCCTATTGAAATTCCAACAATATATTTCACAGAACTACAGAAAACAATCCAAAAATTCATTTGGAACCAGAAGAGACCTAGAATAGCAAAAGAAATTTTAGGCAACAGAGATATGGCTGGGGGTATCACAATCCACCTTGAAACTATACTACAAAGCTACTGTGATAAAAACAGCATGTTACTGGCAAAGAAACAGACCTGAGGATCAGTGGAATAGATTAGAAGATGCAGAAACAACTACAGATATGCTCAGCCATCTCATCTTTGACAAAGGAGCCAACCATCCTCATTGGAGGAAAGATAGCCTATTTAATAAATGGTGTTGGAAAAACAGGATTTCAACCTGCCAAAGATTAAAACTAGACCCATACCTATCACCATGCACTAAATTAAGATCAAGGTGGATTAAAAATTTAAATATTAGGACAGAAACACTAAATTTTCTGGAAGATAAGTTAGATAGAACTCTTGAAGATATTGGTATAGGAAAAGACTTCATGAACAAAACCTCAGTGGCATGGGAACTTGCACAAAGAATCAACAAATTATCTTATTAAAAAGCTTCTGCAAAAAAAAAAAAGCTTCTGCACTGCAAGAGAAACCACCAACAGAGCTAAGAGACAACCTACAGTGCAGGAAAAAATTTTCAGCAACAAAGGACTACTATCTAGAATATATAAAGAACTGAAAAAAATCAGACCCCCCCAAATTCAAAGACCCAATTCAAAAATGGGCATCTGAAATGAACAGACATTTCTCAAAGAAGTAAAAGCAGCAAATAAATATATGAAAAAATTTCAACATCACTGGTCATTCGAGAGATGCAGATGAAGGCAACACTGAGATTCCACCTCACCCCAGAAAGAATGGCTGCTATTAAGAAATCAACCAATAACAAATGCTGGCAGGGGTGTGGAGAGAAAGGAACCCTTCTCCATTGTTGTTGGGAGTGGAGACTGGTGCAACCACTGTGGAAATCAGTATGGAGATACCTCAAAGAACTAGGCTTAGAGATCCCATTCGACCCAGCTATCCCCCTGCTGGGTATCTTCACAAAAGAATTAAAAGACTCATACCACAGTGATATATATGCACCCATGTTTATGGTGGCACAATTTGTAATAGCGAAAGCTTGGAAACAGCCCAAGTGCCCATCAACTGGAAAGTGGATAAAGAAGATGTGGGTTTTTTTATAAGATGGAGTACTACTCAGCCATAAAGAACAAGAAACTAGAGACATTTATAGCTAAATGGATGCACACTGAGGCAATATTCTTAAGTGAAATAAGTAAGACACACATGTGTAAATACCGAATAGTTTCTCTAGTGTGAAAAACTGGAAGTGTAATTAAGTATACACACGGACGAAATTGCCTAATAACATATCTCTCAGATTGTGTTTGCATCGTGCGTCATATGACTGTATCGAAATTTAAATTAGGGAGAAGCTTGGCTTATGTGGAGTCTGCTAACTGGAGTTTTTTTCCAGATCATTTGTTCAATGTTGGTTTTGAGGATCTTTCTGAAACAAATCACATCCTCTGGTGTCCTGTTAGTACTTGAGATGCTTTTTTAAGTTATATGGAAAAATGTTTAAGTGCTTTTCAGGTTTTTTTTGGTTGAGTTCTACTGTATTTGAATATTATTGTAGTTTTTTTCCCTTTGCATTGTTCTTCTTTGAATGGTTTTAATTTTTTCTATGTGTGTTTGATAATAGTTATTTTTTTAAAAAATCAGATAGTACTGTATTCCAAATAGGAAGATACACACTTAACATATTACTAAATCACTGCTATTAAGTGCAAATGTAAATATCTGGAGGCAGTATGTTGTCAATGGTCCTTGATTTCATCCTCATATACAAATACTACAGGGCATGGCAGCACATGCCTGTAACGCCACCACTCAGGAAGCAGAGGAGGAGGATCACTGCTAGCTCGAGGTCAGCCGGGGCTACACAGTGAGATCCTGTTTCCTAAATATAATAAAAATAAAGCCAGGAGTTATGGTGGGCCTGTAATCCCAGCACTCTGGGATACTGAAGCAGAAGGATCACAAGTTCGAGTCCAGGCTGTGCAATCAACAATTTTTTCAAGACTTGTATTTAAAAAAAAAAAAAAGCTGGAGTGCAAAGGCCCTAGATTCAATCCTCAGTACCAAAACAAACACTGAAATGGAAGTACAGTATATGAGGAATCGTGTAAGTACAGGGCACTTAACTACAATACTGTTTTATTGAAGAACCTTTTAAAAAAACTAGTCTAGGAATTGAGCATAAGTCTCAAGAAGACTGCAAATAAGTGTAGTGTCACATAACTACAAATGAAAGCTAGTTCTGACGTTAGACCCTACTCTCCCGGCTGTAAAAGGACATGAGAAAAACCACACTGTGAGCCTTGACTCAGCGTCAAGTTCCTTCGTGATTAAACTGTCCTTTTAAAAACCTCTCCTCTATCATTTACTCTGGTATGCATGGAGCCAGCAGTAAATTCAACATTTCCGGATTTCAGTCCTTCACGATTTTTGCCATGTTTTGTTTTTTAATGCTAACATTAACGTCCCAGTAACACCTGCCCTAGAAGTCTCCCCGAAGCTAGGGGTTTAGCTCTACACAGCACCTGTGCTGGGAGGTGGCGATGCCACGATCCCTCCTCCCCTAAATAGACCCGGCCCTGGGTCAGCTCCCTCACCGGCCCAGCAGGGACCCCGCCCGGCCCCGGGGAGGGGCTGACCACCTGGCGGGGCGGGGCCGCGCGGAGGGGAGGGGAGGGGCCGTGCCCGCCTCTGCCTGGGCGCGGAGCACTGGCGCAGACTCGGGGCTGGCCCAGCGGCCTGCGGGCTGCCGTGGGTACCAGCCGCAAACCATGCGGCCGGGATACCGGCGGCACCACGGTAGCCACAGCCGTCTACAGACCAGGACACACCCGCCCCTCGCCCGTCCTCTGTGAGCACAGCCGGTTACAGGCCGCAAGACTCCCCCCTACCCCTAGCCTTCCCGCTGTTACCTCGGGCCGAGGCGCGCATGCGCGTCACCGCCAACTTTATGTCCAGCCTCCGGCGTCTGCACGTCCCTTCCGCCCCCTGCCTCCGTACTCTTATTGGAAACAATTTCTCCAGCCCTCCCCTCCGCAAGAGCAAGTGGGCTCATCCACATCCGGGAATCAGAAATAAGGGCGGGTCACGTGATGCGGAGGTACGGTTTGAAGTTAGCAGATACGGTGAACTGGATAAGGGTAAGGGTTTCTCTTGACCCCCGCCTAGGTCTAGGAGGGGTGCAGCGCGTTGGTCCCCAAGCGTTGGGCTTCCTTTAGTCCGGGCGGCCAAGGCCGTCAGTTCACCTTCATAATCATTTTCTTTACTGCACGCAGTGTCGTGTGGAAAGGAACATGCGTGGAAATGCTAGGCTACCCCCTCTGCGCTACTACATTTGGTATGTCCAGCCTCAGGCCCGGAAGCGGTGGTTGTGGGCGGTCTCACGCACTGGTTTGGACAATGGTGCCCTGCGAGGGTCATTTCTAGGGACGGAAAAAGCTTCCCTTCTCCGATCGTAGAAATACATATTTTAAAGGCTGTAAAATGTAGAGACGAGTAAAACGTGCCACTGTCTCCGGAACGCACGCATAGCATGTCTAGAAAGCTATGTGGACAGTGTGACAAGCTCCCCATTTAGTACTGTGCACTGCACCCAGGGGTCTGTGGGACCAGCGAAGTGGATTGTAGCATCGCGTGCTCACCCTGGGCTTTAAAAGGACGCTTCCTGAAGGAGGCGACTTGGGAGCTAATGTGAGTTACCCAGAAAAATTAGGAAGAAAATAATAACATTCCACGCTTTGAGATTATCGCTTGTGTAAGGAAAACGTTTAGGAAAGTGGCACTGCTTTACTGTGTGGCAAGTGCTTAGGAAAGTGACTGTGACCTGGGCATTGCCAGTTTTGATGCTTCCCGCTATCCCAGCTCTTTAAAGGCAAAGCGCCTGACCCTGGAAATGGAATGTTGACCCCTAAGAGCTGACACCTGCGTTGTATTTGTGAAGAGATTTTAGTGATGAGGGAAAAAGGCTTTTAAGTGCAGAGGCTGCAGGATTGGAGGTGTTTGGAAGACAGATGGGAAAAGATTGAGTGCAAAAGACTGGAAAAGTCTGTTAGGGAATCATTGCAAAATTTACACATAACAATTAGAGACGGTAATATTGCCTAGCAAAGCTGACCTAATTTGTATAATGGATTCAATTAGGACAAGAAGCAGGCATTTAAGACTGAAAGCCTGCTGAAGCTGGAGCCATTTGAGAAAACTATAAAAAGGTATGGCCTTTGTGAGCCTGGAAAGATGAGCGGAGCAGAGTGTGAAGGGTATCCAGGGGACAGAACAGCAAGGACAAAGGATTGGCACAGGATAAAGGAGATCTTTTATAAAAGAAGTATAACAAACTAAGATAAGGACTACTTATGTGTGATTTCCTGCAGACCAGCTCCTTCAACTTGTTCTGAGTAGTAGTACTGAATTCTGAACAAAACATTTAAGACCTCACCTGGTTAACTAGTGGCAGAAGTAGCTGGGCACTTTTTACTCCATTTTTGCCTGAATCCCTATCACAGGGATAACCCCCCCCACACACACACAACCTGTATACAGTTATTACCTAGCTGTTAGGGCTGGCTGCAGCTACACCATTGGATTCCAGCACAGACCTGTATGACAGATTTGGATTCCACCTTCAAAGATTGTTTCTTGCATGAATCTCCATAGTCTCAGAAACTAGGAGTAACTGAGTGCCATTGGTGCCAGTAGCTTCCAGGCCTTTAGAATTGCCACTTTTTTTTTTTTTTTTTTTTTTGGGGATTAAACTAGTTGAAAAGAAAAAAAAAATTTCAAGAGGGAGCATTCATTTCCAATACCTTTTTTTTTTTTTTTTTTTTGGTACCAGGGATCGAGACCTTGCACTTGCAAGGCAGGCAGTGGCACCACTGAGCTAAATCCTCCACCCTAGAATTGCCACTTTAGGGTGATGTCCAAGTTCAGGAAGCAGGACCCAAATTTAGAAACAAACCCAGGGCTGGGGATTTAGCTCAGTGGTGCCACCACCTGTCTCGCAAGCACAAGGTCCAGAGTTTGATCCCCTGTACAAAAAAAAAAAGAGAAAAGAAACAAACCCAGAAATAGTCTCCAAGCTGAGAAGTTACAACTGTTTTGGAGAAAAAAGTACAGTCAGCTAAAGTCAAGGGCCTGAGTAAGAATTGTGATCACTTGGACCAGGCATTGCAGGGAATACAACATTAAGAGTTAGGAAAGGAGCCCCCAAAGAAAAGCAGAAACTAGAGCAACTTGGGATTCTGCTACTGTTGTTCACCTGAAGATCCTCCTTTCAGAGTTCAGCCTACATGCTTTTTAAGGAAGGAAGCATTTTCCTTAGTCTGATATGATCATATTGTTCTTGCCTTGAGGATTAGTGTCAACCTGTGGTTGGTCATTTTGCATAGCCTAGCTCAGGGTTATCCTAGTATATTAATTTAGCTCCTTTGCTTAAGAATGCTGAGATTTGAGCCAGTGCAAATGGAGACTTGTGTAAAAACAGTATGAGAAGTTTTAGAGAACCTGGAGAGAAGATCTAGCAGCTATTTATGAATCAGAGACTTATCAAAGGCATTGGAAACAAGGAAAGGTGAATGCAAGTTAGGAAAGGTAATTAGTTGAGGGCTTTATTTAGAAATGTGTTACCCTCATCACACTCTAGGACACTGGTCTGTCAAATGGACTATATCTGTTCATTATACACTATGAAGCATCTGTCAGCTGAGGCAGGGAAAGAACTGTGATAAATAAGTTATCACCTGACCAGTATAGATGAGCCTTTCCTAGGGTGATACACCAAAAAAGCAGCCCAAGCTAAAACGTCTGAGGGATCCTAGTACTGGATATCCTTAGTCTTCCTGTTAAAGAAATAACTTCTCTGGCTTCCAGATCTGACAAGATCACAGCTGCAGGAAAATGGATAGTGAGGTACAGAGAGATGGAAGGATCTTGGATTTGATTGATGATGCTTGGCGAGAAGACAAGTTGCCTTATGAGGATGTTGCAATACCACTGGTAAGTTATGAGTTGAGCTGAGGATGATGGGTTAAAATTGTCAGCTAGGAGAGGTGAGATTATCAATGGAAAATATCTAGTATGGCAAAGAAATCAGGTGGTTTATACCTGTACACCTGTATTTCTAGCACTTTGGGAATCTGAAGCAGAAGGATGGAAAGTTTGAGCCCAGCCTGGGCAACTTAGTGACTTAGCAAGACTGTCTCAATATAAAAAGAGCTTAGGGTGTAGCTCAGTGCAAAGGCCCTGGATTAAGTCCCTAGTACCACAGAAATTAATAAGAAATCAAAAGCTGTGACATATGCTAGCAGCTTTTGGAGGGCATCTAGCCTATTTATTTGGAGAGAAATATGATTCAGTTAAGGGTAGTACCTGAGCTATATATTCTATCCATCACAACAAACCTAGATGTAAATCAAATAGAGTCTAGTGCATGAAATGGGGAGGAAAAGTAGGCAGCAGCGTGTGTTTCTTGCTTCCCTTCTTGTGACTTGTCTGTTGACTTACTATTGTTTCTTAGGGTTTTTTGTTTTTGTTTTTATTTTGAGTCAGGGTCTCACTTTGTAGTTCAGGCTAACATTGACATCACTGTAGGCTAAGCTGGCCTCGAACTCTCAGCCATCCTCCTGCCTTAGCCTCTCAAGTACTAAGATTACAGGTGTGTACCACCATGCCCCACTGTTGACATTTTTAGAGACTCACATGCTTGGAACACACACCTATCCTAGATTCACAGGAAAATATTCAGAGGATACCTGACTTTTCTTCTTTAACATTTTGGCCAGCAGGCTCCTGGAACATTGTTTTCTTTCTTGATCTCTGGAAAAGTTCCCTGAAAGGAGCTTGTTAAGCTCATGTAATAAGTGATTCAAAATCTTTGCTTATATAAATGCTTATTAAAAATCATATTTATGTCCTAGAGATTGAACATAGAACAGGGCCCCAGGACTTTTAAGTGTGTCAGCTGCAGAAGCAGTTAATAAAATATGACTTACAGACATATTGTCTGCTCCTGCTAATTAACAAACAGAAAATATTCAGCTCACCTACGTTTAAGAACAAAGGGGAGAGGGGCTGGGAATTTAGCTCAGTGGTTCCTCTGCCTGCCTCAAAGGCACAAGGACCTGAGTTCAATCCCCGGTACCAAAAAAAAAACAAGAACAAAGGGGAGAAATACATCCCATGAATACTATACATATCAAATAGCAAGTCACAGCTTAGTTCAAATTCAGGAAAATAGTCAAAAAAGCAGACGTAATAAGAATTATAGCTGCTGGGCCAGGGATTTAGCTCAGTGGTTCCACTGCCTGCCTTACAAGCACAAAGACCTGAGTTCGATCCCCGGTACCAAAAAAAAAGGATTATAGCTGCCATTTACTGAGTATCAGTTTTATCCTCTGGACTCACATTGAAGACTTACATTATCTCTGATCCTGAAACAACCCTGCAAGGAGAGTGGTATTATCTACATTTTGCAGGAAAAGAGTAGGATCGGAGATGGAGACTTGCCAGAAGTTTGGGAACTGATAAGTTAGATTTCATACCCAGGTCTGTGAAGCTCCAGATCTGTCTTACAAACTTTTGCTTACTCATTCATTTCTGTGAAGCCTATTGTGTGCCATAAGAGTATGGGTGTCTAAGGAGGCAATGTGTAGAAATAATAATAGTGATACGAGTTCTCAGTGGGGCATGAATAGCTGCAGTCTGTAAAGAGTGGTAGATTGCCTAGCAGGCAGCAGAGAGGCTTCAGAAAGGATGCAGTGTTTAAGCCAGATTACAAGGACCAGAAGTTCAGTCAGGGTAGCTGAAGGTACAGGCCCAGATTTTAGAAAGGCTTTGGGAGATGGTGAGACATTCAGGGTATAAAATATAAGGACGTGACCCAAGAATCTACCTTGAGTGTGGCCCATGGCTTACCATTTTAAGAAAATGGCTGGTAGGATATGAATTGGTGTTTGCTGTGTGCAATGTCGCTCTCCTTCACCACTAGGGGGCGATCTCATCTGTCACATTTTCTATGTCCCTCACTACCTCTACCTTCATGTAACATAGGCATGTTGGGTACAGCATAATTTTTGATGTATTTCCTCTGTTTAAGGCATATGCCAGCAAACCCAGTATTCTTTGACAGCCCCCTCCCCCAGAAAAAAAGATTTAGTTTTGGCTCTTCAGTGTCCTCTGGTAACTTACTAATAATATCCAATACTCCTCGAACATTAGATGCCCCAGACAGCACTAAGTACCTCATCTAAATCACTTCATTTAATCCTTTCAGAAGTCCTGGAAGGTGATAGCTACATTTTTCTCCCACTTTCCCAAAAGGAAACAAAGCTCCGAAGTGTTTGAATCTATTGTCCAATTAACCTGGCAAGTAGTAGATTCATGGGCTTGTAGCCTGGTTGCCTCCCAGAGACCTCTGCCTTTAGCTCCTGTGCCACACTTTCTCCTGCCCAAACTTGAGTCACAGTGCCCATTTTCCTATGGGCCAGGCCACTTCTGAGTAATCCTTGTGATATTTTCCTCATATCTGTATATTTTGGCTCTTTCTTTTGAATACACATATCCAATATCCCACCTGTTCCCAGGAACTCACAAGTTTTAATCCTAAGTTCTCTTGAGTTTTAAGGAAGCTGTTGCAGATCCTTGCTCTGAATGTCCATTGTACCTTTTCAGAATGAACTTCCTGAACCTGAACAAGACAACGGTGGCACCACAGAATCTGTGAAAGAACAGGAAATGAAGTGGACAGACTTGGCCTTACAGTACCTCCACGAGAATGTCCCTCCCATCGGAAACTGACTCTTGGCTTCTTTCTCATGGATGGATCTTTCAAAAGTATATTGATGCAAAATGTTTTCTTTCAGTCTCCTAATTCAAATCTCTCAGTAATTAAATCATTCAAAAATGTACACCCAACCTGGTTTATAGCAACAAAATGCAAAGTGAAAATATTCAGAATGAGAAACTCAGATTTCTCAGGAATACAGAATATTTGGCTTTTTATACCTAAAATATTTTTTTCACTTTCTTGTATTTGATTAAATATTTGCCTTTAACTCCGATTTTGCTTCACTGTCAAAATTTAACACTGGAATTAATATGAGAAAATGAAAAAATGGAAACAAAGTCTTTGTAAATAAGGAGGGATGGAGGGGTTGAAGGAAGGGCAGGGAAATGGGGAAAAAATAAGAACCAAGAGAGATTATGTAAAGGTGCAGATTTCCAATGATGAATGTCATCATATTGTATACCTAAAATGTAGCAGTAAAATAAAAAGAGAATGTAGCACTTCCCAATACTTACATATGTCCCGTGACACAGAGGGTTGAAAGTATGAGAGGGAAGGGCAGAGAGGAGGCGGGTACACAGAGAAGTATTGGCTTCTCATACTCTCCAGTTCGAGGAGTTTGTAAGTGGATGTGGCCTGTAGATGTGACGCCTATATTGATACCTAAGATTCGCCAAGCTATTTTCAAACTTTGGTTAAATTTATGATTTAAAAAGTTATCTGGCAGTTAACCTCTGCTCTCCACACACCTGCCTTCAGTGCCATAGGACAAAATCTTTAGCTAGTTGGACCCCTGGTTTTATCCACTAATGGCATGGCTTATCTCCTTAAAGCCCTTTGAGATATAACCAAAATGCCGTGGAACATTCGTCACTAGTGAAATATTTGTATAAGAATTTATAATTTGCAGAACACGCTCATGTATACTCCTGGGGTGGTTCTCTTTTTTTTTACCAGAAGACGGCATACGGTCCTTGGGTAGGTGACTGGAGTTCAGACGTGTGCTCGCTCAATCCCCGACCCACAAAAGTTACTCCAGGCATAAGTTCTTCTTGCTTTTTTTTTTTTTTTTTTCTGGGTCTTCTGTTTAGCTAGCTTTTAGGAGGAAGAAGTACATCACAAACCAAATGAGTTGATTTTAGGGTTACAACAGGAAATATGGCTGTAGCGGCTGGTGAATTTTTTAAAATATAAGTTACTCTGGAGGATAGATTTTAGTGGGAAAACAAATTAGAAGAGCTTTATATTGGCTCAAGTGAGAGATGGTGGCTTGGACTGGCAAGATGGGAATGGAAGTAGGGAGACTCGGATATCTCTTGGAGGCAGGATTTTCCAGGCTTGCTCACTCCAGGTGTATTTAATAAAGCCAGCACCTTGGATCACGGTCATGTGGGTCAAAACACTCTCGTGACCCTACCTTATGACTCAGGACTGAATTCTCTGAGCCAGACAGAACTACAGATTCAGCTTGTATCCTCTGAAAGCAGTGAGTCCAGGAGTTGCCTGTCCCTTGAACCCAAATTTAGCCCCACCTCTTCATAGTAGAGTAAGGACAGCTGGGAATAATCAAGCATTTCATGCTCTCTAGCTCTTTCATGGGGGGGGCGGGGTCATTGTCCTCTTTGATTAGGAAATGGTGATTTAAAGTTAAATGACATTCCAAGTTAAAGTTAACTTGCTTCACATGGAAGGATTTATTCCAAACCATTCAAACAGCGTATTCCAACCTAGGCTGTCAGATCGCAAAGCTTGTGCCCCCACACCAGGCTCTTTTACCTCCTTTAAGAAACCTTCTGCAGCTACCTCTTTTTAGAATGGGAAGAAAATCCTATCGGGACACTCAGAACTTCCAAATGTTGACCTTGTTTTTTGTTTTTGTTTTTGCTTTTGTTTTTGAGACAGGATCTCACTATGTAGCCCAGGCTGGCCTTGAACTCAAGTCAGTCCTCCTGCTTCACCCTCGAGAGTGCTGGGAGTGCAGGCATGCGCCACCACACCCAGATTCTTGACCTTGTTTCTATCATAGAGACAATTGAAAGAATTTTTGTTAGAAACTTGGGAGACATGAAACATTTAAAAATTCAACAACTTATTACCAAAGTCGTCTATAACTTTTCCACTATGAGTCATATTATTGTGACTGGTTTTTATACAAGGTTACATCCCACCTAAGGTGTATTTTCAGATTTTGGTGTATTGGTATAGTTTAATGTCAATGCCATTTGGAAGCCAGAAGGGGGCGCTCAGTTCCTTTCAGAAAGTTTGACTCTTGACCTGATTTTAAACTCTGAAACTGAGCGAGCATGGTCTTTTGCTTGGAAGTGATTCTGCCTGTCTGCTTGTCCTAGAGTGCTGGGGGGCTGGGGGTGTGAAGAAAGTGCAGTCTTGCTTGGATTCTGGTTGCCCACATTGGACTGGGCAGTTCACCTGCCCAGTGGGTCCTCACTCGTGCTTTCTGGGGGACCAGGTGAGGGCACACTGTCTGGGGGGGGGGGGGCGTTGTTCAGAACTTCGATTTATAGACAAAGATGGCCAGAATCAAGAATTTTGCCTACCTGTGACCCCAGCTCATACTCAGGCCCGGGGCTCTTTCTTCCGCCCCCCACCCCCACCCCGGGGCTCTTTCTTGAAACTGTTTCCCAGCTATTTAGGTGAAATCCTTTAGGCATTATCTTGGAATAATCCATCAGGCTCCAGAAAGACTGTCTCCTAAAGTTTCCTTTCTTGATTTTGCCCTGCTTATTCCCCAGTCCCTCACTGTGCCCACCAGGAACTTCATGGAAAGCAGAAAGTGGTAGGGGATGGCTCCTCAGGAGGGTACCCTACTTTGTGGCCTTCCTGACCCAGACGGTGGATGGTCTCCGCCTCTGCCTCTGAGCTAGCTTCATGAGTGTGTACCTGTGCACAAAGGCTCCAGTCAGAAGGGCCTGCATTTGGTATAATGCTCTCTTGTTCCATTATACCCTTAACAATTTTGGAACAAAAAGCCCACGTTTTCATTTTGCACCGAGTCCCTTAAATTATTAACTAGTCCTTGAGTCTATGGCAGTCACTTGTGAAGGTTCCATGTTGGACAATGACTGGCTCAGCAAATGCTCTTGCTTTGGAAGAGATGATTCAAGACACTGTGAACATTGTCCTTTGGACAGCAATCAGTGGCAGGTAGGTCCAAGAGTAGCAGCTAGACAAAGGGAGACCACTAGGCCTGCCCTGGCATCCTGACAGGGAGGTTCCATTTCCTCAAAAGACCTCCAGGGTAACTGCTGAGATCTTTCACTCAGTTGACCAAGCTGCCTGTCAGTCTCACCTCCTGCAAGCCCACTGGACTGACCCTGGCAACTGGAGTGAGGAGAGGTACAGAGACACTGGAAGCAGTGTTGCAATATTGGGCCTGTGGGCAGCAAGGAGGACTGGAGGCATGTCCTTGCCTAAATTTCACCCGGCTTACAGCCAGTGAATGACTATATGACCGTGACCTTTGCAGTCCTGTCTCAGGATAGAGCCTCTGACTGAAAGGTGTGAGATTCACAACTTCAGAGCTGGAAACAGTTGTCAACTCAGTCTAAAGGATCCTGCCTGGGTTTTTGTTTTAATTTACCCAATTGCATTGAAGTATGTTCTTTAAAAAGTCTTGGGCCAGGGATTTAGTTCAGTGGTTCTGCCACCTGCCTCGCAAGCCCAAGGTCCCGAGTTCAATCCCCAGTACCAAAAATAAAGTCTTCTGTAGTTCAAAAATAGCCAGATAATTGCAAATTCTTATGTTTTCAACTAATATTTTTACCAAGAACCAATTGTACATATAGACACACAAATACACACACACACACGCACGCACACACACACACACACATACCGGTTTTGTTTGTGGGGAGGTTGCAAAGGGTGGGGAATTTGAAAACAACCAAATGATTAGAAAGGAAGTGAGGGAGGTTGATGTAGAAACCCATCCCAGCTATTCCATGCCTTCTCCCATGACTCAGATACCCTTTATCATGAAGCCACCACCCAAGGGCAAAAGAGGTTTTCCTCCGCCCATGCCATGATCACGATCATGCTTCCACCCTTCCACCCTTCCACCCTTCTGGCATCTTTGCCCTCGCTTCCTCCCTACCTGCCGCCTTAGTCTCAATCAGCTGCCCTCCCCCTCCACTGTGCTGACAGAATGGTGCTTCTGACATCCGGTCTTACTGGGAGGACTTCCTCAAGGAAATTGAGGTGGCAGCATCCCTGCCTCTTTACTGGGGGGTTGGATGGCTCTAACATCTGCCGCTAAGACCCCACACATCCTGGCCTCCCCCAGCTCAGCCCAGACCGAGGCGGGTGAGCCCACCAGGTGAGGCCAGTTTTTTCTGGTCCTTTCATCCCAGCTGTTGCATTCCCAGCCTCTCTCTCCATCCAGCGCCTACTCTCAGGACTGTGTAGATGTTAAGAGACAACTCCTGTCCCTCCCTACCTCCTGCTCTCCCACAGCTGCCCTCCAGCTAGAGAAATGAGGGCCTCATGAGTCCAAGTTCATAGCCCAAGAATGCAGGCACCAAGGGACCAAGGGATACAAGAAAAATGAGTCTCGGGTTGGGTTGGAAAGTCCCAGGGGATTCATGGCAGAAGTAGCAAGGGCTGGGCCTCTGGTCCCTGTCTTCCCATTGACTCTGCCTGTTTCATCCTAGTTCTGTCTTTGAATGATTCTCTATGTGTTCTTGTTTCTCTCTTGCTTGCTGTTTTTTCTCTCTTGCTGTTATTTAACCATTATCTAAATATCTAACTCTACACATTAGAACTGTCTCTCTTTTTATATGGAAAATATCTCTAAAGTAGAACTCATCAAAGTCATATCACATTTTGTTTTACATAAGAGTCGCTTATGTAACATTACACTTCAGTAGAATGTATATAGGTGCTAAAGTACAATGGCTACATGTACAAACCTTGGAGACAGAAAATCCTTTCCAGCTAAATATTTCCCTTTTGGAACCTCAGTTTCCTCGTTGAAAATGGTGTTGAAAGTTCTGCTTACATGATGGGCTTCTTGGAGGATTAAGTGAGATAATACAAGTCAAGTGCTTAGTAGGGTTTCTGACACATGGTAAGCACTTGATAAATATTAGCTCTTGTTTATTATCAATGCAATAAAATATTTAGGAATTGAGCACTGAAGTCAAACAAAGAATATTTCATTATGGAAAGAAACATTCTCAAATAGCCCTCAGATATTATTTCACACAATAGAAACAACAATGACTTAGAAGGCAGAAGACCTGGGTTCAAGTTCTACTC